AAACATACTTTCGTTTTCTAGATCCTTTGGGAGCTCCAGCATTGGAAATTCTATTTGACATAATCGAAAGTTCAAGCTTACTGTTATAAAATTGCTTTTACAGTCTGCAAAAAATAATAAGCCGGATCCAATTCGAAGATTAAGGAACAACGGAATCATCAACATTAACTGAAATAGATAATTAAATAATTTTACCTTATACCGTCCGTTATACATTAAACGCGCACACGAAAATGTATTCTGAAATTACATATAAATATATATATGTAAGATAAAAATATGTAAATCAAAATTATAATTTAAATTAACAGCAACCCCTAATTTTCCCTCTTTATTCTAAAAATTGTAATAACTCCCCTGGATGTTTAGATTAATGTCATGTTTAGATGTTTAATGTCATGTTTAGATTAATCTATGCCACAAAGTTTGCCTAACGCCTATGTCATAGTTATTCGGAACCTAAACTCTAAGAACTGAAACCTTAAACCAAAACCTTTCTCTTAACAGAGTGCCAGATTGGATAAATGCACAGTTAGCTTGCAGCTTTGTTGCTGTTTGGACGCTGTTTCATTTTATTGTGCATTGGTGTGCTGCTAACTACGCCATTATTTAAAAAGTGAAAACTGTGGTGTGTGTATTGCAACCATGATCATGTGTGATGAAAGATACGTTTTTGATAATTAGTTCATGTGCAGCAATAAAGATTACGTTCAGTTCTGCTACATCTGTCTACAAGTCCCTCTCCTTCGAGTGTCATCTTTCAAATTATGGCAGCAATCTCTCCAAGTTTTTATTACACATATATATCTATAAAAAATTGTTTAATTTTATTAAAAAATTATTCCATCATATGAAAAATTTTTAGGGTATTACTATATCCTCAGTTGGTGATTAATAGCTTTGTTTGTTACTCGCATTTATATTTTTACAAACTTTTATAACCTATTCCCATTTGCTGTTTTAAGAAAAAAAATTTCTAGCTTTAATATTTTATTTCATAATTTCATATTTCAATGCTACCAATTAATTGAGGCAATATTAATGCCCTAAATAATTTTTCCTAGGATGGATAATCTTTTTAATAAAAAATCTTAAAACTATTTATAATAATTTTTAAAAAATTCAATCCTTTGCAGCTGAGTTGCAAGATTGAATTATTTCCTCGCTTTTCTTAACCTTATGTATATGTATGTATGTATATATATATAGGGTGCGGCAGAGAAACCACTTTATTTTTTAAATGAATAATACAAATAGTATAAGCAATATCAGTTAAAGAGCGACAAAGTTTTTTATTATTATTACGGTTTAAAAATAATATCGCTAAGGTGGCCTCCGTTCTTGTCAATGCATTGAGATTGTCGAGTTTTGAAGTTTCTTTCCATTTTTATCAGGATATCAATAGGTATGTTGTCGATAGCAGCTTGAATATTGTTCTTCAGATGAGCCAGGGTCTTTGGACGTTAGAGATTTCACATAGCCCCACAAAAAGAAATCACACGGGGCTAAATCAGGCGAGCACGCTTTCCATTGACAGTCGCTTCGTAAGGAGACAAGGCGTCCAAGGAAATATTCCCCAAAAAATCATGGTCCAATGATGCCTATTCTGGACAATACACACCAAACAGTCACATGTTCTGTATGGAGGAGCTGCTCATGAAATTCTCGGGGATTCGTGCCACTCCATTATCGCATGTTTTGCTTAATGCATGCTGCAGCTAGAAAGATGAAAGTGAGCCTCATTGCTAAAGAACACAAAGGCATCATGAGGCGTATTGTAAGAACAGCTTTGCATGCACTTTTTCTTGAAAGAAAATCTCGCGTATTAAGTTCTTGCACCACTGCCAATTTATATGGATGAAAATGCAGTACTTGAAAAGTACGACTCCACAGAGAACGCACGCTTCTCTCTCGTCCACTGCATGATCGGTACTAAACCTACATGATATAAAACTTCAGATACCGCTCCTTTCAATGAGCGCCACCCCACCCTTCTTGGAATAAATGTCGCTAGATGGCTCGTGTTTCAAATAAAGAAGTTTTCCTGCCGCACCCTGTATATCAAAGATTGGATTAAAGTAAATATATTAATAAATTGCCTAATATTTGTGCAAAAGATTCAAAGCAATAAAATAATAATTCATTTACTAATGCATTGTTGAGTATATTATCTCCTTTGAGAAAGTTAGTGCAATTTTAGTTGAATGAAGTAATTTATAAGCATTTAAAAATGAATCTTGAAAAATTTTTTAAAAGAAACATCAAATATGAATCGTGAAAAATTAAAAATGGAAACATTCAAAAATGAAAAAGTAATCAATAAACTGAGTTACTATCGTCATTGATAAAAAATTGGTTGATTTTTCAAGAGGAACAAACCAACCTGTAATCAATTAATAATTAATAAATGTGAAGGTGTTTCATCTTTTCTCAAGTTAGAATTATGATGCCAAACTAGTAAACTGAATTTAAGAAAAGTAGGTAGATTTAAGGTGAGATGAATTTAGGTTAATGTAGTATATAGAATTCATTATGAATTTGGCAGTTCTCTTTTGTTTATAAATTTTTTAAAACTTGAGATATTATTGTTAGGGTGAGTAGTAGTAATATTTCCTCACGTGAGTAAAGTGTCCAACGACACCCTCACTTTCAATATTAATTCAAAGTAATCTTTATAAATATAATAAAGAGAATGCAATCTTTGCAAAAAATTATTAAATATAAAAGTTGAAAAATATTTACAGATAACAAAGTACATTAAAATATACTAAATGGAATTTACATAATATACATAAATAGCCAGAAGATGAATTAAATAACTTACGTGCATGTAACTGTTAGGATGAAGGCATATCTGTTACTGTTGTAATAACTAACTTAATCTTCTATTATCGGTAGTTCTTGTGTTCTATTGGCCAAATCTTTCCTTTAACTAAATCTGTTTAATGAAGAGAAGACTATGTACAAATATTATATACAGATTACAGGATAACTGGTTTATACCTCTCTCAACCACTCTCATCAACCTCTCAACCCTCTCTGCTGAAAACTCGTAATTAGCTAAACATACGGGTGGCGCAGTGACCTCTATCTCTTTTTTCTACAACTGTCTTCGTACCCAGAATGAATTTTGGAATTTGAATTGAGATGGAGAGATAGTGATGTCAGTGGATGATTTTGAGAATCTATTTTTGGAATGTTGGAGGGAAGCAGTTGTGGAAATCTCTTTCAAGTGCAAAAGGCATCTATTGAAATTTTTACTTTATGCTGACCACACAAAAGAAATTAATTCACTTCTGGTTATTGTCGTAGTGGAAAGAAGAAAAAAGTGCTAGTAATCTTCACTGCGTACGAGATACTAAGCAGTCTTAGAAATATGGAAATAGGTTCATTTTTTTAGTGACAGCAATAAAGAGAATGCCAGAAACAACGATTTTTACATTGTATACAATTACTGCAGTAATTACACTATTTACAAACCCTTTAACTGATAGTCATCCAACATATACTGCATTTTCAGGTTTAGGAATAAATTTTCATATCCCTATCAGCCAAATGATTTAGATATTCAAATACAGTAGACACTGCTTAATGTGATAGTGGTTAACGTTATCATTCACATATTGTTTAAATATTGACAAATGTCAGCAAGTATGAGATTAAGTCACCAAAGTGCTTAACTTTTATTTTAGACAATTATTTAAAATTAGGCAAAATAAGCAAACTTTTCTTAGTTTTGGCACAGATTTTTAGTAGCTGTTAATTTCAAGAACAATCAGATAGGTCTCTCTCGTTTAGACAAATGATGCAAGAATATATATATTGCAGAAGCTTTTTGAAACAAACCCCTGCACGTCTTGTAATAAACTTCCTGAAGAATGGCAAGATAAAATCAGTGAATTTGCTGTAAATACTGATATAAGGAATGGAATGGCATTTAAGTATTAAGATTAGGGTAGAGCATTGGCCAAATAATTTTTCGAAATGTTACAAACAGTTCATAAATAAACTTGCATTTTCCTAAAGCAAGTTAATGCAAATTCATAATTAAAATGCTGTAAAAGTACTTATTTATATGTTTCTAATTATATTAAATTAGTTTCTGCTATTTTGAGGGATATTTTTGTAATCATTTAATGTTGTCAGAATAGCCACGGACATTATTACCACATTAAGTGATGCCTAGTATTACTATAACTAAATTTTGATTAAATGTTTGAAATTTAGTAGCTGTTAAGAATCCTACATAGATCTTGTTGTTAAGTTGTCAAAAATCCTCCCTCAGACCTTTAAAAAATTTAAAGGGTCTTAGGGGTACCAACATTTTCTTTGCATCTGGAAATAAATTCAGAAAATTTATTTTTCAGTTATTTTTCCTCTGTTAGTGAACTGTGCTGAAGAAAAAAATATGTATGTTTAATTAAGAAAAGATGTTATAGAATGAAGTATATTGGCATATTATTTTGCATTTTGTATTATGTATGTAAACTGTATTATGATAATCAGTAGTTAGAATCATTTTAGAATTACATGGGTTATGTATTTTAAACTTGCAGTACAATTATTATGGAAGAATTTACAGTACTTAAACCACCTCTGGCAGTTTAACTGATTTATTTTTTCCCCTATATTTTCTTTAAAAAGGATAGTTTTATTGTTGAATTTAAGTTGTTGTATTTTAATATTTACTATTTTAATCATTCTGATTATCAAAAGTTATTTCATAGATCATTATGTAATAGCATTAGTGCTGTCCAAACAGTTGTGTTTAATTTGTGTTATTTAACATTGGATGGATTCATATTTATGATATTATTACTTCGAAATAACTGTATAAACATTATGTTCCATATTTCCTAAAAGATTTTTTTTGAAACTGTTTTGCTTATTGTTTTGCCAAATAACAATAAAAGTTTACTCATAGATGATCCTGTATTAGGCATTTGCAATGATGTATAACTTGCATTTTATATACATGTGTATTTATTTATTTATTTTAGTTGCAATACAGTGAGGAATCTGTTAGAAAAGCTTTAAATAGAGGTTTTGATATGACACCTGCACCGGCTCATTCTTCATTCTTGAATCCTACTATGTCCTCAGGCTCAAGCAGATTGAATTTGGGTAATAATCATGTTATGTTTTGATTTCTGTGCTCTTTTCATTTATTATGTATTGTTATAATAATCTAAAAGGAAAGTGTAGTAGTTCCTGATGGATATATTAATTGATAGAATAGAGCTTAATATAACATTTTTATTCAGAAGAATTACATTTTCAGGTAAAAAATAAGTACTATAAATTAGAATTTTTTCTTTTCATCATTATTGCTGTGTATGTCAAATATTTAATATGTTAAAATTTAGTTGAAACATTTTATTTTGTTGAAAAATTCTCTTTCTGTTTTATATATAAAAAAATATTGTCCGTTCAGCTGATTTTGGTTAGTGCATTTAGCTGCATGCAATTTGAAATTACTACTCCTTTAGAGGAATATTAACAAAAGATACAGATTTTTAATATGTATCTTATAATTTTTTAAAGAAGTGTATCGATCGATTTGGATGTATGCTTTGTAGCTTTATGTCTTTATATTGATGAAGCTCTAAACTTTTACTGCTCTGAAAGTAAAGGGTATGATTTTTTTTCTTTGTGTATAGGGCCTTAAATTGTGTTTTGTTAATGCAGAGAGTTAATTATAGCATATTTTTCAACTTTCTGAACTTTAATTCTCTGTTGCATGAGAAATCAGTTATGGGGGGGGGATAGTGAAATTTCCTTTCAATTCTTTAAATTAAAGCATATGGGTCTTTTCTTCACTGTTATCGTATTACATTGACCTTTTTTATTTGTAGTCATTTGTATAAATCTGTGCTTAAAAAGTCACTAAGTAGTTTATCCTCCATAAAATGGTTTTTTGGTTCTTCAGTAGCCACATTATTAAGCAAATGGTAACATTATCCTTTTTATCTTTTTTAATGTCAAATCTTTATTATGTGTGCTATTAAAACAGAGATATTCAAAGAGTGTTTTTTTTTAATTATTATTTTTTTAATGAATGCTTGATAGTTTTTACATTAATTATGAGTAATATTTCTTATTTTGCATTTAGAAGTCTGAATTCTGTGATACCTATGATGTTTTTAAATACAGAATAATTCTTTTTAGAAACAGAAAACACATGGCTCTAGATCTAAACCTTTTCAGCATGTACTCTTTAAAAAATACTGTATTTACTATGTTAGACAATAATCAAGGTTCTAAATGATTAGTTACTGGCAAATAGTTTTGGAACATTTTAGATATTTTTATTATGTCGTCAAAAATTTTTCTTTGATGAAAAATGATTTCATGATGGTAATGTAATAAGGATAATTATGAAAATAATTTCTGTATTATAATTATTGTCTATTTCAACATGCTACAAAGAATAGACATCATATTTCTGTGAAGTATGTTTGCTGCTTATATTAGCACTCCCCCTTCCTCTATGTAACCCCCACTTTTTTTTTTTTTTTTTCTCTCTGAGTTTTCTTTCTCTCCTTTTCTATATCATTTATATACTCGAGAGAGTTCAGACATTTTCTGTTTGTATGTGCATATCGTGTAAAAATATTCTTCTTGTTTACCATTTTGCCAGAAAATTTTCAACTAAAATAGCAAAAGCAGATTCAAAAAGACACAAAAAATTGCAAATGACATCAGAGATCACGTGAATTTTTGTGATGTCATAGTTACGCAGGCTCATATGACCTCTGACATCATCGCAAATTTACCGTGTATTGGTTCTGTAAGTTACAGACTGTGTTCAATTCTTAGTCTTTTTGATTACATACCTTAGCTTTAATGAAAAAATTTTAAAACGATATTGCTTATTTTCAATTGTTTAAAAACCCATTTCTTTTTTAATAAATTTTCATTTAATTTACTTTCAATCTTTAAATGAATTTGCTGATATTCATTCTTAAGAGATCCCTCACGTTTAGACTGTTATATTAAGCTTTGTATTAAAGTTTTTTAGTTGGCAATTAATTTTTTTAATTCATTGTTTTTTTGCTTAATTGTGGGATGCTTTTCAGTAACTTTTCCGTTCTGTGTGGTGGATCTGTTTCAGAAAAATGGCATTGCTTTGATTTTCAAGTCAAATTGCTTAGTCCATTGCTTAGTTCTTAGCAATATTATAATCAGGAGTATGAATTTAATTTATTTCTCTGTTAGGGTAGCCAATATATGGCACCCAAGCTGCAAGTTCTTTGTTTCGATTAATTATCACCATGGAACTGGGGGGGACTGACTTAAAAACAAAATGCACGGGGGACGAGGGAGGGTGTGAGAGGTCCCGAAGCATTTTTTCCCTCTTTCTTTTTCCTTTTTTTCACTTCCCTTACCTCTTTCTCATTATACTGGCATCAGGCTGTGCAGCCTTGAAAAGAAAAGCCCACATCTAAATGAGATTGCCAGATGTCAACTTGTATCTAAGCCTAAACAAATTGTTTTTTAATATAAATTATATTTAATTGACAAATTATTTAAAAATAAAAGCATTTTATGATATATTAAAAAAATCTTTGAAGTCACAAAAAGTAGCAGAAGAAAATGATGGATTTCGCAAATCGCAAATATTAAAATTTCAGTAGCATAAGTTTGTCAAAAGTCACAAATTTGCGCAAAATCGCACAATTTGGCTACACTGCTTGTATATGCTGAATTAAACTTTTGGTTTTATGAAAAAATATTAGAATATGTAATGCTATACTTGCTGTTGCAGGAGAAGTGTATTTTCAGTAGTTGTCAATTTTTTAAAAATTTAAATCACATTTATGTTGTTTTAAAAACAGGTTCTAATAAATCTGATGAACATTCTGCTGGAAATAACCCTATGTTAGACCATTCTGCCTTAATGCATCATGATTTTAAAAAGTGGATAGATGATCATCCTGAATTAGTAGCAGCTAATCCTAATTTAGTCGCTGCTGCTGCTGCAGCCATGGCTTTCAGCCCTGTGTCATCATTTCCATCTCATGTAAGTGAAAATGTTAGTATTTTTATGTTTTAATGTTTTACTTGCTTAAAAAAAAATGAAGTTACTTAGAAATTTTGCAATAAGATTGTTTTATTTAATATATTTCTGATAGCATAGTTGATTTTTTTGTTGTTTTGTTTTGCATAGACTGAACTGCTAGAATTACCAGAAGGTAGAAGAAGAGGCCGTAGGCCTCGATTAGATCCAACTAAACTTGATTATGACAAAATCACCGGAGAGGAAAATGTTTCAGTAATAAATAGGGTCACTAATAAGAAGGTTTGATATCAGTATCTTTGCTGTCTATAAATTATAATGATTTCTTAGGGAATTGATTATTATCTAAGATGATAAAAATGTAATAATAAATTAGAAGAATTTATTTATTTGTTTATTTAGTTTTTAATTTTTTTTTAAATTTAAATATGGCATAATTTTTTATTATTAAAATCTCTGATTTAGTTAGCAAGGAATGATCTGCACTATTCCCATTTTTCTTAATAATGGTAAATGGTTTTTCTTTTTTCCCCATGATTAATGCTTTATTAACATCTTAACATTGCTAAATTTGTTTTTATCCCTGCCTTTTATTCTTAGCAGCACGCTTTTTATGGATAAGGTGCATTGATTCTTTTCTTGCACATAGATATTCAGATGGATTTAAGACTTTTGTTTTCCCTTTTGCTATAAAAAAATCATGCTGACAGATTTCACCTTTTGCTAATTTTTTCCCCAACGTCTGATGCAGATAACTGGAAGCAAAGCTCCTCCCTTGAAGTACCTTGCAGAATGGTTGGACAAAAATCCTATGTTCGACGTTGATCCGAAATGGGGACCATTAGTCCGCGAAAAGGTGCTTTTTTGCTTTGCATGCAACTTTTTTTCCCTTTTAATTTAGAGTACTTTGTTTGCGGTCACTGCTTCACTAATTATATATAATGCTTGTAAAATACAGATGTGTGTGGAATTAAACGTGCTATGTATGTGTTCCCTTAAACTAATTTACAAAAACTCTTATATGGGACAACAATGTATGAATAATATTCCAAAAAAGTATTTAATTCTAAAAACATTTTGTGGAGTTTATATTTAAAAAGAAAGTATATATATATGTGTGTGTTTGTGTGTATGTATTTAAAACATTATTACCTAGTGCAAGAGCATTTTATGAGCCTTTGTTCTCATTGCAGGGTAACTTACCTAATAATATGGCAAAAAGAATAGTCACTCCTTCAGAAAAGAGAGGACGCCGAACTGCAGCTTCATTGTTGGCTAGTGCTCATCAGAATTTAGCTCCCCCTGCCACAACCATGTCTTTCCCCTCAGCTGGCTTAAATCCTTTAAGTTTTGCTAACACTGGAATGCTCAGTGGTTTTCCAAATATGAAATTCTTCATGGATCCGCCTAAATCTAGTACAGCATCTACAACAACAACATCAGCTACATCAACCACTTCAACAAATCCTCCTATATTTTTGCCTTTTGGTGGTTTGGCAAGTATGGGTTTAACTAACCCATTATTTGGATTCCCTGGGTTCAATTTTCCTGGACTTCAAGGTTCATCACCATTAGGAACCAATTTACCTGCAAAGGATCATAAGGATTCTGATAAGAGTAGAAATGAAAAAGACTCTAGCAGTTCATCTCGAAAAAATATACCTGCATCTTCTTGTGCTACCTCAAGTAGCATGAGTTCGACGACAACTTTGCCTTCATCCTCATTACCTTTCTTATATCCTCCTGGACTTCTGTATAATCCATTAGGCTTAGGAGGTTTTACACTGCCACCAAATCTTCCAGCCTCTTTTGGTTCGTTTACTCAAAGTGGTCTGGTCAATGGACTTGGTTTGAATAATCCATTATTTACCACAAGTTCTCTTAGTACAACACTAAGCTCTTCAATGACTGCAGCAACTGTTACATCACCAGCTGCTCATAATATTTTATCATCAGTTCCAGTTTCTAAAGCTCATACCTCTTCTAGCAAGTTGCTTTCAACCCAAAGCCACTTTGCTGATGGCCAGGAAACTGATGATGAAAGCCTAAAATCATTAATGGGAAACCATGATGATGACGACGACGACTTAGATGATGGAAAAATGGAGATTTATGACAATCCAGACAAAGACGACAGTGATAAAGAAACATTCAGGGACGTTACTGGGCGAAGTCCTGCATCCAGTAGTGCTACTGCACAGATATCTAGTAAAAATTCAAATAGTGACTCTGAAAGTGTGTGTTTAGCAAAAACTAATAATGAAAATCCTAGTTTAGAATTACCAACTAAATCTAGAGGAATGCACGATGATCCTACCTCAGATAGTACTGACACTGAAAGTAAACATTCTTAGTGTATGAAGAACTTAAAACTGTCTGTGGGCACTGTGATGCAGCTGTATATTATTTAATTTTTTTTTAACATTTCCTTCCATTGTGATTATGATTGTGGTAGGAATGAATGAAAAACATGAGATTGTGAATCAGAGATAAGTATCATGCAATGCAGCTTGTAAAAATATAATTTTATTTATTTAAAAACATTTCTCTTTTCTTGAAAGACGAAATGAATCTTAAATCATTTTCTTAATTTTATGTTTGTTAATTTGTGTCATGTTTTGTCACCTCATTTCATGTTTTAACACCAGTGGCTTTCACATCTATTACATACGATTTTTAATGGGGGGATTACATACTATTTTTATCATTACAAATCATACTTCTGTTATCTGATTATATTTTGTAGCAGATTATTTCTGTTTATAAACTTCTTATATTGCTGCTTTCAGTAGATTCAACATTCCTACATGATGTGGTATTCATCCGTACTTAAAACTATAGAGGTCATTAGTGTGTAATATTTATGGCTGGTAATTTAGGAAACTTAAAAGCAGTAATGTTACTGTTTTGCAGTTTTAGTAATGCAAGCCTTGTGTACATACCAACTATTTTCAGACAGGCAGCTTATTTATTTTATTACAGGGAGGATGTAGACCAAGAATTACATCATTATCATCTCCATACTTTCGGAAAGATTAAATGAACTCAGGCAATTTGTCTCCGGCCGTGACAGTCAAAGTCTGTAGATGCTTAGATTGAAATTAACATCTGTTTACTGTAGTTTTCATAAAATAAATAAATAAATAAAACACCAACAGTACAGAAAATGTTACTCTTATGTAGTGCAGTTATTCTCTGAGAAAATACATGGAAATTTATATATGTAAAAAGAAAAAAATACAAAACTTGTTTTAGCTGTCATATTAACGAGACATTTCTGCTTCTAGCCAAATGCATATTTGTCATGTCTGTATCTAGAATGTGCTGTCACCTAAACAAATGCAGTTTTTGTAATGTGTTGTTTTGTGTCATCCTAATGTTTTGTGTCTTTTGGTTTGTAAAAAAAAAAAAAAAAAAAAAAAAAAATCTGATGGCTTGAAAATTATTTCTTATATCATGAACTAAGTAATTTCCTAGTTGCCTCATTACTAGACAAATCTGCTGTATTGTGTAAAATAAGTTTGTAAAAAGAGAGAAGATATTGTTTAATGAAAATTTTGACAAATGCAAAAATTAAAAAAAAAAAAAAAAAAAACTTTGCTAATTGGACTGATTTTAGTTAAATACAATATATTGCAAATATTTTCCATATGTTTCAATTGATGTTCAGTAGTTAAGTTAATTTGCTATTCATAATTTGCATTTTATTACTCAGTGTGATAAAAAAGATCTAAAATCAAATTAGTTAAGTAATAAAGTATGTTAAATTTAACTGGGGAGACAGTATTGATTAATTTCTCCATTGCAGGAGGGGTTGATGATGGTGTAATGTATAAACTTATTCTGGCAATCCAATCCACAAACACTCTAGTTCTGAAATTAAATGTTCTTCCATTCTTTCAAATCTGAAAATAAGGTTTAAAAAAAGTAGGATCTTCCTCCTCAGCAGTGCCTTGAACACATTTCTAATGGCAGAGATGTTCCATTGTTTTTATGTAAGGGAGTTATATAAACCATTGAGTGGGACAAATCTGTCAGGAATCATTTTGGTAGTTTTTCAAACCAAGATGTTAAACTTGCAAAATTTCATATGGCAGACAAATGAGAAACTTGTGGCTGTCACAGAAGGTAGTTGGGTATCTTTGAGGGATAAGGCTAATAAATGCTTTACCTGCCTTCTGCTGATTGTGCTGCAAGATTGCTGGTCATATTCCTAGCATCATATAAAAACGCTCCTGTAGCAATATCTACTTGTTATAAAAGAACCATTTATTAAGGGAATCAGCCTGTGTCATTGCATTGCTTGACTACACAATGTTTGTACGAGTGTATTAAATACTTAATTTCAAAAAATGTGTTGTGTTTCTTTTAATATGAACTTAAATTCTTTTCGTTTTCCCCTTAAATACATTCACTTTTCTATTATTTTGTGATAAAATTTGTTGTAAGAATTATCATTATAATAATTTATTAATAACATCATAAATGATTAATTTCCTAAATAATTTTTGTTTAGTTTCCCAAAATAATTTTTGTATATAAGTCAATTTTTAAATATAACATAAAGGATTTGACATTGTTATTGAGTATTAATCAAAATCTTTTCCAAATGGGACCTAGGTATCTGAATTGATAGATGTTCTTAAAGTTGAGAAGTGGTTACTGAAATTATCTGCTAAAGCAGTGAATTAAACCTTTATTATTATTATTATTATTTATAACTATGGCTATAATATATATTTTATGAATAAGATCTAATTAATGAATGAATAATATTGGGATTTTCAGTGAGCATTAAATGTTGTCCCAAGACTTAAAGAATATAAAAAATGTACAATAAATTTAAATTAATTATTTTAATATTTTTTAGCATATGTTGAAAATATTTTTAAAAATATTTTCTCAAAAAGTTAAACTCTGGAAACTCTTATTATCCGAAGTAAATGGGACTGAGTTAAGTAATTAGTTGTTATATTTATTTCAAGCTCGAAATTATTTTGGTGAACTTAATGTTTTCATCATTACAGAAAAGAAGTTTTAATATAGCATCTCTAGCTGCTAACTTTCACGCATTATAAAATTAATGATTATTTACCTTTTTCTTAAAAAAAACTGATGAATAAATTTATCTTTAATTGAAAGCATAATCTTTGTATTTAGATGGCATTATTAGAAATAATACACTCACTAAGTGTAATTTTTACCGAGTCTCAAAATACAGTAAAAGAAAAGTCTAAAAGAGACTAGGGTGAAGGCATAGTAGAATATAAGTAAATGCAAAGAATAACAAAATCAGATATTCAAGAAATAAGTGTTCTAGGATACTGAGAAGAACAATAAGATGTTTTTAGAAAATTTCACAGAACCTAGTTATATTTCATATTGAGGTGTTTCCTGCAATATTCATTAAACATACTTCAACACCAATTTTTAAATTGTTTGAATAACCATTCATTTGAATAATCAATTTCTGTTTGTCAAAGCTATATTGTAATTACACTGTGATATATATCAAAAAATTATTTTCTTCTTTCAGATGTTTTAAATCTGCAAAAAGCATATTTAAGTTAAAAGTGCAAAAAGCATATTTGTTAAATCAAAATTTCATTTATAGAAATTTATTGCCATATTAATAAAATATTTATTCAAATCTGTTGAAATATAAGGCAGCCTGCAGAATAAGAATTAAAGGGAGGGTTTTGAGAGATTTAAAGAAAAGGTTATTTTTCAATCTTTAAAATGATACTTTTTGGTAGCTAGTGCTTTTAGAAATACTTTAACCTATATAAATAACCCCGTCTTGGAAATTGTTTATTACCTTCCCGTACATGCTTGACCCTGTATGATTCTCAGTGCAGCTGCAAATTTGCAGCTTTCTGAAAGGGAATTTCTCTTAATTGGCAGCAGCATTGTTGATTATTATTTTGATATTTTCAGAAAAATTTAATTCTTATTCCTTTCCAACAATGTTGTTTACTGTCATCGTTGATTTCCAAATCCAGGTTTTTGCCATAAGTACCCAGCTTTTCTCATTTTCTGTTTTGTTTGAACATTTGCATGCAAACTGAAACCTGATGCCTTAAGTAAAATTATTAGTTAATGGAACTTGGAGTTAATTATAGTGAATGTATTCACATGATAGTATTTAGGATCATCTACCTACATATAAATAAAATTATCATTTTTCAGAGTGGATACTATTGAATCATAAATGAACGATCTCTTATTTCATTTTATAGAAAGACATCATTTTTAGGAAAAAAAATATACTCTATTGTCAGAATGTGATGATGAACATCTGTAAATTTCTCATTAAACCAAAGTACTTTCATGTAATTTCTTTTGATGACATTCAGCTGAGTGGCATATGTCATCTTGATCATTTTATTTATTGTAATTTTTTGTCTGTCTTATCGTATTAAAGAAGCCTTTTATGGGAAGGGTTAGATTATCTTCTCATTAGGCTGTAAACGTTCACAGAAGTGGTGTTGATTTAAATAAGATTAAGAAACAGGGATTAGAGAATACTTGATCTATGAAGTGTACTTATTGGTTACACTGGGTCACATGCTCTTTGCGATAATTTTTTGGTGCTAAATAACTAATACTTGATCTATGAAGTGTACTTATTGGTTACACTGGGTCACATGCTCTTTGCGATAAATTTTTGGTGCTAAATAACTAAACATCTGAAGTACCTAAGGAAATAATTCAGAAAAGCAGAATAAGCTCATAAAACTAGTTGCACTGTAGTTGAACAAAACAGAAAAACCAGACTGTCAGTGGCATTTGCCGGGTACAAGCAACTAATTTGAAAATGACTGAAATTTGAATTGCAAAAACTTGAACTTAGGTAATTACAGATAACACGACAGACAAGTCGATAATATTTACAGAATGTCGGAAAAAGTATTCGATGTAACAGTAGGTAAAGGTTAATTCTACTGTAGTTGTTTTGTTGCCAAAAAACTTCTGGCTGTAAGAAATTCGCCAAGAATATGTTAACTGATAAAACCGATAAGTACACAATAAAGTAAAAACAGTAATTGGCTACTGAGCCAATTTTTATCATTTGATTGTAGCAGGTTTTATAGACCCATTATAAATGTATATCTGCCAACTTTAAAAAATGTCTTTGTTTGAAGGTTTTGCATGTAAAATTAATTTCTTCATTTGGTTCATTTGATTGTGCCACGCAAAATATCTCTGTCTAAGGGAAGGAGTGCACTGTAAAGGAAGGTGGCCCGTATATCCACGTTATACATGGTTAAACGCCTGGTTGTCAGAATTCAAATTACCATTGCAGAGTTGCCAACTCTCCTGATTTAGGCGGGAGACTCCCGATTTTCGACCACTCTCCGCCAAACCCGCTCCCGCCAACCCGATTTACAATATATTTCTCCCGACTTTTTCTTATTCTTAAAATTTCTCACGATTTTTATGGAACTTGGCTTAATACTTTGTTATATAAACAAAAAAAAAAAAAAAAAAAAAAAACAGTGATTTTGGCAGTCTGGAAGCAATTGAATTTTCTCTAGGTTATATCTAAAACATAACCTTGCGAATTAGATAACTTCTGCTTTGTAAGTGAGAGCAGAGCATATACGTATCCAGAAACGTCGTTCTCCAGTTCTCCAATGGGGTCATCGTGCTCCACTACGTGTCATCTGGCATATATTAATTAGCCAATCAGAACAAAGCAAGCTGTTATTTGGATGTTCTTTAGTTATTTTGGTCATTTTGTCCTGAGTTGTTTGAGTATACGTGCCTTAGGGAAATAGTTTTAGAAATTATCATCTTTTGTTATGTCTGCCAGAAAGGTGAATTACTCGTGTACGTTTCAAAAATCATACACAGTTGACTTTCTTTGCATTATTTCCTCAAGGAAATGTAATAAAATTGTGATGTGTACTGCCTGTCGTTGCGATTTTTCGATTTCGCATGGTGGAAGGGCGGATGTTCTCAAACATGTGCGTACACAAAAGCACAAGGACAACATGAGTTGTGTTGAAAAAAATGAAAAATAACATTTTTCTTCAGAAACAGAGGACCAAAAAGTTGCTAATGCAGAATGTCTGCTGATGGAATTTTAAAATATAGTGAGCTGTCTAGAATTATGTTGGCCATCTTGACAGTTCCCCATAATAATGCAGAGTGTGAGAAAATTTTCAGTATTGTTGCGAAAACGAGGACTAAATTTAGATCTAATATTAGTGATGACACAGTAGAAAAGCTTTTATTATCGAAAGCAGGCCTACGTGGCAATTACTACGAACAAAATTATGAAGTTTCTTAAAGAAAGCAAAATCTGCCACTGTTTATAACATTTGTACGAAAACTAATTAAAGTGGTTTTCTTTTTTCTTAATCGATGCAAGTAATAAAAATGTTTTTTATGTGTAAGGTATTTTTGTGTTGCTTGCATTTAAGAATTAGTTACTATTTAAAGTTAATTCATTATTAAAACTTATATTTTCATCATTTAAAAAGTCTTTTTAACATTGTGAAAAATCTCCTGATTTTTGAGTGTATGCCATTGTTTAGGGACATTATTGATCAGCACTAGTGGTCCGATTAATTGTTTTTAAAAGCACTAAAAATTTGACTATGGTCCTGATTTGTATTTAAAACGTGAACTGTTGGTAGACATTTAAAGTACCCATAAATTCGTACTCTTTATTGCACTAAGAACATATTTTGCTCTTTTTAACAATGTGAATTCTTTTGCATGCATGGATATAGGCATGGCTCCTCCCTTTGCCTATAGTTGAACGTTGCCATGTTTGGCAATTTTAAGATTAATTTTTCAACAAAAATTTTGCTTTGAAGTTTTCTTCAGTTCATTGTTCAGGTTATCTTTCAGTGTATAATTAATTTTATGCTTATTGGCATCCTTTCCTTTAGACAAAGAGCTTTCATATGCTTTGCCATGCTCTGATATATAGCAACACTTGAGCATGACTAATTTTCACATTTTTTGTTTCTTTGTAATCCGCAGTGTCACTGCTGGTATTCTGCAAATGATTTCTTCATCATTCAAAATTTGAAAGTTTGGTTCTCTGTTTTCTACATTTATACAGTCAGAAACATCATCCTTTTATCCTCTAAATCGTGTGAACTGTTAAGTGTCAGTGTTGATTTCGTTTTTGATACTCGTAAACTACATGTTTATGATAATGCAAAATAGGAAAGCCGTTAAATGACCCATTATTGACAAGAAATGCCAAAGGATCCATTTTAACTGTGTATTAATGTTGGATAAGTTTTAGCACCTTTTACCAAGGGATATGTAGGTATGGTTAGCGTATAATTATTTAGTATACTCCTATTTCCACAGCTCTTCTGAAGTTGTCT